ACACACACACGCGCGGCTTGAGTTGTATTAGATGAGCGATCTCGTCATTGCAAGAAGTTTGCTGTTAGAAGATATAAAGTCTTAGAATTTTGGAGTTGACTTGCGGAATTGCTGTTCATATTATCAAAAATCAAATTGCCTTAGTTCAGCTCCTCTCCTACGAAACAAAACGGACACGGCTTAACTGACTAAAGACATATCAACTGCGGATAGAACTAAAGAAAAACAAAGCGAAAGGAGAGGAAGTGAATGAGAATTCCGAGAAATGCCGGAAATTACCAATCACTATAACGTTTGTGTCTCAAGTGAAACGCTAGAGTCGAATTCAAAGAACTTTTAATCAGTACAGTCTACTTTAACAAAGAAACAGCCTTCCTTCTGGTTAGCTCTTGTCTGAGACTCATATTCGAGCCAAAAAAGAGATGCCAGTCTGTTCGTGCTCGTAAAAAGATCAGTGTTTGGTTTATTAATATCTCGATGAGTACACCAAGCTTACTTTACCGAGACCAAGACGTAATGATTCGTGCAGTTCGTAGCGAGAGATCAGTTTCAAATTCAAGGCATATCAGTATGGCTCTGTTTGTGATACTGTGATGTACACGCAGAATACTGGAATGCTATGACCCTACAGTGTGCCGAAATTGAGAACAAATTTTAAAGAACTGTCAGACATCCAATTTTCTTGAGGAGAAACGTAAGTCTAAAGTTTGTCTTATCCATGATCACATACACTTCCGGTGTCAATAAAATAGCTTCTGTTATCCGTTTTAGTGGTAATTGCAACATGCGTAATCAAGAAGGAGCGACCTATAAGATCAAGAATCTCTAATTAATGAGGTCACTAATTTTACTTCTTCCGTTGATTAAACTATCAGTGATCAGAGCACTCCTTGTTGTATATCCTGGCGATTGGCAGAGTGTAAACGTCTAAAGATGGTTTGTTGTAGGCAGTATTAGCTCTAAAACATCCCGTAGGTTGGTAGTAGCCTTGCACAGGCCAGACTGAAACATCTCGCTCTGCTCCGGAGCCCTGATCGTTCCACAAAGCTGTGGAAGACAGCTCAGCATTCGGCAGAAAGCAAATCTTTTCGGATGCAGGCATATTTGGCAGTAAATTCAGCAGAAGGCTGAGACCAGTCATTGCAAGCTGCATCGCCAAGGGCCACAAAACCTGGAGGAGCATGTACTCGCTAAAAGGAGCCGTTATAACGACCCCTCGGAGCCCTTGTCGTCCCAAATGTCCTCGTAGGAAGATGGCGGTTTGATAATTTCACCAAGATGGTCATACTTGATCAAGGGCTTCACCCGTACCACAGCGGTTTGGGGAATGGTTGATGTGAACGCTCCAAGAGCAACATCTCCGATCATATAAACACCTTCGGGGATGGAATGGAGTTGAGCCCTCCACAGGCTTATATCTTGGTACGCTCCTGTTTCTTCGTCTGTATAAATTTGTTCCACGAAAAATGGCGCCATTACTTCAAAAACTGGCTGATAGGTCATTGTGCTGTCTTTTTGTCAACGTGTGTAATATAATTCGGTAATTCACTTCCCTACGATTTTCAGTCAGGTCAGTTAGGGCAGCACGAAGGGTCCACCGACAAATCACAATTTTTTTATCCTTTTTTGCACAAATTGAAGCTTTTATGCGGTAGCTTTTGAATTTCTGCCAGCTTAAAGCGGAAATGTGTGATATTAAACCCGAAATATCATGATTGAAGGCTGTTCTATTTCGGTAAGTCGAGAAACTACACATCTTTTCACCATTACTTGTCGTTGCACAATGTCCTGTTGTTACGTTAAAAAACAACCACTGTTGCTTACTCGCGGTATTTTTTTCCAAACAAGTAGTAGAGGGAAAATCTCTAACATGAGAAGAAGACTTTTGCAGTATACATTGATCAATACACGTAGCTGTTTCAGTGACATGTTCACCTCACACAAAAAGGTCATTCCAGTTTAAACACGTCTTTAGTTGTGCATTTTCACGCTTTCAACATTTGCTGCTTTCCAGGAAATACCTAACAACTTTTACTCAGAAAAACTGCAATAGCAATGTGAATATTACAGTGGGAGACATGTTTCAAAAGTTTATGAGTTGTGTAGAACCCTACTAGTCAAATACAACTCTGACGAAGCTTCCGTTGAAAAAAAAAATTAAAATAAATATCGTCTTTTTCCTTCTCCCAGCGCTCCATAGTTGCGGCTGGAACAATCTGCAAAATCTTAACAGATACTGAATGAAAATACGATGGATATCAAGAACACAGATAATCCGATCAAACTGTGATAATGAAGCCGAAAAGTCTTGAAAAGGTCTTCTCATTAAACAATTAAAGTGCACAAGATCAGACAGAGCTCAAGCGCAGATGAATCTCGTCACGTTTCATCAATATTGAAAAACTTAAGCTTTGAGTTTGTTATCTTTAATGCGCGCCAAGTCTCTCCACAGATCTATCGTTGAGAAAAAAAAATTGAATAGGAAAGATCCAGAATAGGAGGGAAGTATTTTTCCAACCTCAAGGTGGGTATGTGTGTGTGTGTGTGTGTGTGTGTGTGTGTGTGTGTATGT